AGAGGGTGAAAGGAATTAGTGCAAGACAGAGAGGGAAAGAGAGTTACGAAGAAATATGGAAGGGAGGCAGAGACACAGAGACTGAGTAGACAGACTGAAGAAACTGCTCTGAACTTGGTATCAGCAGAAATGGATAAACCCTCGGAGCCCACCTTTTGGGGATTTTTTTCCCATTCGACAATTTATCCATGAAGTCAGTGCTGGGTTTAGCCACATCAGGAAATGAAAAAAAATAACTAACCGTTGGTTTGTGGGCTATGGTTTTGAAGCCTTGAGCTCGGCATTTTGGCCGTCCCATCATGATTTTTTTGGAGTTTGTTGCAACCAGAAGTGACACAAGAGGGTGGCGCTAAGTTGAAAGATGATACGTGACAACGCCGTAATAGCAACCTGTCAATCGCAAGGTAGCCCAACCCTAAAGCATGCACTGCTTTATGGTCTATTTCACTCTAAATGGACCATAATAACTAAATGAACACATAGCACACAAACAGCGGTCCCTTAGGGCAAAGCCCGTGTTTGTTTAGTTGAGATTTAATGTGACTGAAATGACTACTACTAGTTAATACAATACTAATTATCAATTCAAGTTTCCTTTGCTCCAGAACAGTTTTCCTGTGATTTTTCGTTTTGGTCTAAATTCAAACCAGAAGTGAAGAGCATTACCCAACTCTGCTCTTTCATTTCATTAACACAAATGGGTTGTTGGTAACATCGCAAATGTTGTAGTCCTGAAGTTGGTTCGCGCTGACTAATTCAGTGGAACATCCCTGCCAAAGAAAGGAGCAAAGTAAAATCCGGACCAGTCAAACTGAATGCTGTATCGCTTTCAGGACTCCTTATTCTTTGGTTAATAGCCGTGGTTATTCCTCTCCTGTGCGCGAGTCATTAATTTAACTTCACACATCTCGCTGGAATACTGTTACAGCTGATTTGCTTTGATTGATCATACTTAGCTCAGTTAAGCTTACCAACTGACACACACACTGCTGTGATGACAGACTACTGAATGAGATAATTGGATTTGGGTTAATTACACAGACACACATACAAAATATATTTGCAAGTGTGTGTGGGCACACATCTTTTACACACCCATCTTTTCTAGTTTTGTACTGTGTCTGCCATTAAGAACCTGCAGTGTGCTCACTGTGGATGTGAGAATTGAGACTTTCAATGCTGTAATGTGACACAAACCTCCATCCTCAGAGAGAAGATGGCTTTGGCACATACACACACACACACACACACACACACACACACACAATTTAAATGCAAACAGAATGCTCTTTCACATGAGAAGTCAGACTCTCTGAGGAGGAACATTGGGGATGCTCTGTGACGCATCACACACACACACAATCATGTTTTCATGACTTTTGGGGACATTACATTGACTCACATTCATTTATACTCGAGACTTAACTTAACCCTAACCATAACAGCTACCAACCTGATCCTAACCTAAACCAAGGCTTTACCCAAAAATGTAATGGTTTATGTTATGGGGACATGCTATTGTCCCCATTTGAGCCCAAAGAAAAAGGTGAGTCCATACAATGTGACTGTGTAATCAGATTTATGTCCCCACAAGACGGGTAAAACACGGCCACACGCACACACACACATTCGTGCACACACACACAGGTGTCCCCCCTTCTGAAATACATTTATCACTGTCTCTTGCACTGTAATGGAGCACGGGGAACATGCACAGGGATCCTATTATGGAAGGGGACTCAAACAGTAGTCTCCCCATTGGTCTCTTGTCGACCATCTTAGCCCTTTTATGCAGCAGCCTGTTCTCACTCCTGACTCGTCTAATAAGGCAGCTGGCCCGAGGTGTCAGACTGATGCTCTACATGGCCGTAGTTATGGTGGGAGTAAAGGAGGAAGTCAGGTTGCGTAGTATAAAGAGTGATGGAGGAGGTTGGCTGAGTCCAGAAACACAGGACTTTCTCCCAGGAGAATGGCGTTCGTGTCCCGTGTGAAACCAAAAGAAAACATTGACTTATTCTAAGTTATATAACATACAATGCGCTTATGTAACTTGCGTAATGCAGCCTACTTAACTACATAACAAACCAGAAAAACACCATCTTTTCCTAAGCCTAACCAAGTTTTGTTGCCTAAACCAAACAAAGTTGTTTCCACCAAAACGTAGTTTAGTTTTAAATATCGGAGAGGAAATTCAAACCTGCAAAACTGAAGCTAGAGGGGTACATAGACCGTCACAGTTTGCACCGAAAGACCACTGATTAAGCGTCGGTAAGTGACGAGTTGTGAGTAAGAATGAGTTGTTAGCAGCTGATGTCCCCACATGTGTGATCATTATTAACAGACATTCTTTTCGTGTTATGTCACGCAATATTGTGGACATTGTCGCTCAGTAAACAAACATAAGGGAAAACAATGTCCCCCTGTCTAACAATTTGGTCAATGAGAAGGCGTCTTTATATCTAATAACCATTAGAATATCCAACCGGATATTCATCAATATATATAAAACATTTTTACAAACTATGAAATTTCATCGGATGCCCCCCCCCCCAGCCTAACATTTGAAAATCTACTAAATGAATAGAAGATACACAGAAATGTTTGTACATGTACATGCTTCACTGTTTTATTTTTCTCATAAACTCTGTCAAAGTTTTAGTGTGTTTTAACAGAATTGCGTTGCTTGGTAACATCTTTGGTCCATGTTTACTTCTTGTAAGTTTATGTTATCCACATACACTCTAACTGGAAATAAGCTGGGACACATTAAGAAGTATTAAGTTTAAAACTGCGAAATGGTCGATATACGGGTGACATTACAACAGTACAGAAATCCTTACTCATTCAAAGGCACAGTTTCTGAATACGGAGATGTCCACATGATAGCTTAAGACACTAGACAGCTCAGTAAACATCCTTGAAATGTTGACTTGATTGTGCTTCGAAGTTGTTTTGGATGATATGGACTGTGGATGTGTTATAAAAAAAAAAGATTCAATACCCCAAAGATATCACTATCGGATAATCAAAAGCCCAACAGCACTCAACAAACAGCCAATAACCCATCTACCCAGCTGAGTGGTGTACAACCCCATAAGCCAAATTCAATTAGTGGCGTATAAAAGGGCAACTGGGGAGTATCAGAGTTGTAAAGCAATACGGGAGATATGGAGCTTGCTCCTGTTGTACGGCTCACCTTGCAGTGAAACCGAAGAGTCATTCACAGGAGGGTAAAACTGGCTCATGGCATTGTGTACACAAATCTTAAGAGGGTGCTTGTATAGGTTTGGAACAAAGATCGCAAAGCATGCTTAACATACTGTCAAAGTAGAACTGAAATTGTTCCTGCATATGTAATGTACAAGACCCATGTCCCTCTTGTACGGATCAATTTAGATGTATGAAGACATGCATTTTACCTTCTCCTTTCTGTAATGACTCCGATGTTAGTTAAGCAAAAAGAATTGCACATTGGCTATCGTCCAGATAAACGACAACTTTGCTCGGATTCATTTTCTGTGACCAATGTTGCGTTGAAGCATGGCTGAGTTAGCAGCGTGGCTAAAGCAGCCAGCCGTCCACTGGTTTGGTTGCTGGTCCCTGAGGAGGAGAGGATGAGCCCGACAGCCAAACACAATTTATTATCTTGAATAAATGCGATAACGATTCTGGCCCCCAGTATCTTTAGCCCACTACTGAGGTGATTCATGTTTGCCTGCATTGGCTATGGCTTCCATTACCTTGCCAACAGCCCAGCCTTCAGCCATACTGTGTGGAAGCCATTGATGGATGCCACATTCGCATCAAGACTCCCCCTTGATCCACATGCACAAGATATTCCCTCCGCGGGGAGACGACGGAGCTTCTGACCACTCTTCTACCCGCAAACTAATCTCCTAGCAGTGGTTGGAGTGACCACGTGGTGCGCTGACATGGTCGGATAAACAGTAAATGCAACAATTTCAAATAGGCTACTAACTTTCACCAGATACTAGATACACCAGAGATAAACTGACCCTGAGTTCACTTGACAGCGTTCTAAGACCAACCCTTTCAGGTAGACCAGAGAGCGGTTGCTTGGTCCGCGTTTGAACCAACCCAAACTAACCACACCAAGGGGAAAAAACACTCTGGGGTTTGGTTATAACCAGATTTACCAAGGCTGGTATTAACGCACCCTATTATTACAATAAACTGCATCATCTCTTATCTGATACCTACATTTTCAGAAGGCCTCAATAATTAGAGCTTCTAATGACACTCACTGGTCTCACAGACCAATGCATAATGCTGACACTATGTATATAAATGCATTGACATGAGGGAATGCTGACATCAGCTGTCAACCAATTGCAAATGCACGTTCTTGTTTACTCTGGTCTGTGTCGTGCTTTACAACGCCTCCTCGCTGTAATGTCAATGTAAATCACTGCTTATTGCTTCATTATATTTAATAATCAGTCTCATGCATAACACTACTGTTGGAAGTAAGTCTTAAATTGACTACATGTTAACTGTTTACTGTACCTTGAAGGGCATTAACTTCTCTGTTATTGGAAGCTTCTAGTTGACAATAAATAAATAAATGTTCTCTGTACTTGTGGTAGCTGGAGTGTTTTGCAGCCGTTTCACATACCTACTGTCAGCTTATCTGGATTGTGTTTGTAGCCAACCAACAGCCCAGCAACACATCCAAAACTAAACTATCATAAGATGTTTTAGCATCATTGAAGGATTGAGCACATAAGGGTGCTGGTGGGTTTTTGTAAAATGTAGCCTAATAGGCAGTAGAAAGTGATGCATGGACAAAGCAAAGTTAATTTAGTAATTAATGTCTTACATTTACTTTCATGGTCACTATCGCTTTAGCCAAACAAGTCACACACTATACAAACATACCAACTAGTAATATAACCAACAACATAATACTGTGCAGCCCGATAGGTTGACATTCACAGTCTAAATGTCCCGCCTGTCTCTATTGCTGTGTTTTTCTTCAGGAATCGCTGTGATCTGAACAGCGAGGATCTGAATCGTCAGTGGTGTAAACCCGACCCTGTCCTCAGTCCAACCATCTACCACACCAAGGGCTTGCTCTATTACCTTAACAGCGTAGGACGGACTCCATTGGTGAGATACACATGCTCTTCTCTACTGTAAACCTGTCGTTGTCTTCGGATGTTGTGGTCCGTTGAGCTCTCCCTTGTTTTTGCTTTTAAAATCTTACCCTGCCCCCTTTGAGCATCTAGAGACAACTAGAGAGGTTTTCACCCAAATGCTCCTTTCAATGTAAGGTCAAAGCACTACTGGAGGTAAGATTACGAGTACCATTGATTGCTATAGTTAATACACAGTTAACAGCTGTGTAGTTGAGATCAAAATGAAAGCGGCAAGGGGCCATTGGCCCCCCCTCTTTATACCCGTGGTTCCTCAGAAGTCATGGCTGATTGTGATGCCAAGATGGTCTCTAGTTTAATATATATAGATGTAGAAATGTAAAAAATTACATTGTGTGTTCGGGTAGGGGATTTGTGTTGCAACTGAACGAAGGCCTGGCACTGCAGAGCATCTCACTCCTTCAGAAATTCACTCTGTTGCTGTTTCCTGATTTGTTTTGTTTTTTATTCACAGAATGAATGAGATTCCAGCTGCAGCATTGAAAAATTCAAGTACATTTTCAAATCAATGGGAAACTAATTAACAGCAAAATGAATGCCTGATTGTTTCAATTTGCCCCTCGCAATAGCTGCCACCCATTATTCAGCCAAACACAAAGCCAAAAAGTGTGAGCATGTGTGTATGTTGTGAGTGGTGTTTTTGTATGTTTTTTTCTTCCTGAAAGTGAAATGTAATGTAATAAGGCTTTAATGAAAAAGACCTATAATGAATTGACCTTGATTGGCTTATTTAATTGCTCCAAATTAGAGCGGGGAGGTTGTTTTTCAAGCTTATTCAAGCAATTAACTGTTGGTGTAGACTGACGTACAGTGAAAAGCTTGTGCACTTTCAAAGAGGACTCGTTAACCTTTTCACAGCCAGGTGGTACGCCCTTGGATAAACGTGATGCTCAGGATGGCACGGCTTTTAGCATAAGCACTTGTTGTGCACCATAAAAAGCGACAGCAGTAGTGGTGTGTTCCAACACTAACATAACTCTCTTGTGACTGCATGAATGATGACTGGTCTCTCAGAAACACATTAGGAAGAAGTGGGACATTGTTTAAACGCCACAAATCCTGTCAGAGAGGATAGATGGATCAACAAAGTGTGTGACTTCGATACAGGAGACCGCTGGGCCCCTTGTGCATTCTGTGTCCTGTAACACAGTCTCAAGACAGTTTGTGACCCTAAAAGAAATCTATTGGTTTCCTGTACATTTTTCCCCTGAACTGTACTTGTTTCGTGTCGCTTGGAACAACTTCCTTTTTGGAACGACATTACACTACAAGTAAGGTTTAGGCAACAAAACCACTTGGTCAGGTTCAGGAAAATCGTCACGAACGTTATGTTTCAGCAACAAAACTACAAGAATACACTACACGCGGTGTCAAACACCGATCTCGTTGTTGAAAGTCCTGTGTTGCTTAGTCACATGGACGTGTTTCATTTTTGTGTCCACCACGAATAAGGATCCTAACTGAATTGCCATTTGCATTATTTTCATCCTGAGCAACATGCAAAAAAGAATTTGTGTCCCTGTACAAAAAGCTAATAAATTGCATTTTGTGACTATTTCAAGACCTTCCATGATGCTGGGCTGTTTCCTACTACCTGTCATTGTTGTTGTTTATTATTGTTTTTTTATGATTTTTGACCACCATCTTTCCCTAACATTGAAGGAACGTGCTTTATTAGCTCAGGCCTTTCAGGTATGATAATAGATCTGGGGAAGGTTCAACAGGTCAAGAAACAGAGACAGTCAGATGATCAGGTTGTAAACAAACCGAGAGTTTTTATCTAAACCATTTTATTTATAGGTCAAAGTGATGCACACACATTAACGACATGTAACTAAATCCCTCATAACACAGGAACACTGTAGCACAACTACATTAAGTGCAGTAAGTCACAGTTGAAGCAAGAAGTCTGTAGACAGTTTTGGTGATCATTTTACTCGTCACTTTTATTTTCTCTGCCAGATAAGTTCGACTAACCTGAAGGTTTGTTTCCCGCCTGTCTCAATTGTGTCTCTTAGAAAAGTACAATAATAGCTCACCACAGCTCACTATATCTATTTTTAGCAATGTTCCTAAAATGTTCCAAGAGCCTGTCATTTACTATCTCAATTATTGAGTACATTATCTTAACTGAACGATCCGGAGCCACGACAATAAAACCAAAAGCAGGACTTTTAGTTGTCTAACCAAAAAATAATGAATCATTTGCATAACAGACACCCTAGTTAGAACTGGAACATTTCACACAAAATGCTGCAAACCCGTTCAAAACTTGAATTTCTCTGGAATTTAGACCTGACAATTTTTCCAGTTTGACATAAAAAGTATCTTTGACACCTCATTAGACTCTTACCTTGGCGGGTTTCCATCTTTGAATACTGGTGCAATGTGTAGGATCTGGCTAGAATTTCCGTTTAAAAGATTCAAAAAAATTATCCTGCCTTTCATAACACTTGGATCTCAAGAGGCAATGGTGGGTCACTGTAGCTTCCAGTCTGTTCTCAGTCCAACATGAGAGGACCAAGAAGTAGAGCTGCCCCCAGGGGCTTGTCCATCAAGTTGAAGGTCTTTGTTTATTGGATTAAAGGTGTTATCCTGCCCCCTATGTGTTTGAAATATGTCAGATCTGTAGCATTGCACCTTTAATGAATGATATGAATCAGAGCAGAATTATTGCATAGACTTTAAACTCAAATAATGCAAACCCAACAAACAAATAAGAAAATTAAACCTCACTTAAACTTAAAAGATTGATACAAGAATACAAGAAAGTTAAACAAAGATTCACATGCTATTAAAAAGTATAGAACTTGGAGTGTATTTATTGTTCAATCTTCAAAGATGCAAAGATTTTATTACAGCAGGCACCATTTTCCACATCACTGAATAATTCCAGACAAAATATCCTGTCAGATCATCCGACACGGGGAATCTGTTCGAGATGCTTCTCACACGTCTTCAAATCTTGTCCGGATGCGTAATGCAAAGACCTGTTCCTCTTCCAGGTTTTTTGTGACTACCACGGCCACTCCAGGAAGAAGAATGTGTTCCTGTACGGTTGCAGTGTTAAGGAGACTCTCTGGCAGTCTGGCTCTGCCGTTAACACTGTGGGATTGAAAGAGGACCCAGGATATAGGGTAAGACACACAAACACACACACACACATGCACACCCACAGCCAAGCAGGCCATAGAGTGTTCAGTTTAAAATGGTATGTGGTCCTCTCCTCTTCCAGTCCCAGTGTGGATTGCAGTTAAAACTCAGAAACATGAGCCAAAAGTCTGTATTTGGTTATCAATGTCTCTCTCTCTCTCTCTTTCTTTCTCAGACCATTCCAAAGACCTTGGATCGTCTTGCACCAGCCTTTTCTTTCAACAGCTGCAACTATTTGGTGATAGAAATAACAACAATTAGAAAAATAAAATGATTGATATTATAAGGCCTTTAATAATTCACCTGCCTATTCATTTATTTACAATAAAGTCACCAGACAAATAATGTGACATGAAAACTGAATCCTTCCTTGAACAGGTGGAGAAGTCCCGCTCTGCCACGGCTAGGGTGGTTGTCTGGAGGGAAATGGGCGTCCTGAGAAGTTACACCTTGGAGAGTACTCACAACGGTTGCGACCAGGGAATATACAAGGTGTGTTCATGATTGTGTCGGTCCAAAAAAGCTCTTTTCATTCTCTGCCGTAAACTGGTGATATATGTTGTAACACTAGCCGTGAACTTCTCAGTTTACTCAGTTGCGTGAAGATGTTTTTAAGCAGCCTTAAGGTTCTATTCTGTCTATCCTAGAGTCCAGGTCGAAGTTTGAGCCAAAGTTGAAGAAATTAGCTTGAGGCGTTCCTGCGATATCACGTACACGATGATGGGACACGAGAAGTTAACGTTGATTTAATTATCACATAACTTGCGTACTTGAGAAACGGCACTTCCGTTGTTATTTTTTAACCCAAACGACAATCTTTTCATGAACCTAACAAAGTAGTTTTGTTGCCTAAAACCAACTAAGTTCTTCGAGAAGACTGTATGCATGTAACGAGCTAAAGTTGACACATGTTGCTGGAATTTTGCAGGAAAAGGCATGAAAAATAAGGAGTATGTTTCCATTAGATATCATACACATGGACAGGTACATGCACTGTTATTCTGAAACAACAGCGAAGTGACAGTCACATGTATCCCGGCCCAAAATATCAATACTGGTTGAAGAGAAGATATCTTTGGGACTGCAGGCGTGTTTATCCCATACACTGTATATAAGAAGTGCACATAGTCATCGTGACGTCAACCATTGGTTTGTGCCGTTTTGAAGCCTCGAGTTCAGTGAATGTAAGTTAAATAGCCTGATTTCTTTTGCAGCTCAACAAAAATATCAGTGATTGAACGAGATGTGAAAAATCAATGTGGGGGATTTGGGGGACAATTTGACTGTTGACCTAACATTTAGCTGTACATGCCTAGTAAGCCTCTCTCTCTCTCTTTGTCTTCCACATCAACCTGCCTTTTACTGCAGGCTACAGACCCTTTAGTGGGTCACACACAGACATTGTGCCGGTTGAAGTCTCTATAACTCTCTCTCTCTCTCTCTCTCTCTCTCTCTCTCTCTCTCTCTCTCTCACAGAGTGTAATTAAGTCCCAAGCTGATCGCTCAGTCACCAGCTCTAACCTTTATTTATAGAGCACATAAAACCAAAGCTATAAAGAGCCTTCAGCACTTTATAGTGTAAGTGCGAAAGAACCGAATAATTACCGCCCGGCTGCTAATAAAAGCGCGATCATAGTTATGAGTGAAAAAGGAGCGACATGGATGAGGAATATGTAATCTGTGTATCATCAACCTCTTCATTTATGACTGACGTTGGAAAACAGGAGCTCAGGCTGGGTCAGTCAATGAATTCTAAGCTAATGCTCCAACACTTTTCTGTTTTCTGTTATTTTGCTGCTATTGGAGTCCCAAAAATGTTCAAAGAAATCACTGGAAGCGCTCTGAGTTCGATGCAATACAGTTTATTCTTTGAGCAAGAAATAAACCTGAGCAGACCTCGGAGTCCAACTGACTGCCCTGCTCCGAAGCCTTATATACTTCCTCTGTCTGGGGCCAATGCTCCACCTTTACTTTTAAACTCCTCCTTTGTTGCCCTGGAGATGATGGTGTAATATCTTTATAGCACCACCCAAGTTTCACTTTTCTAATGGTGTCTTAGTAAGTCCCAGACTTTCCCACTCAGGCATGTCTTCCTGACACCATTATTACAAGGGTGCATTTTTTAAAACTTTAATTAATTTAAGTTATACATTGAATCAAACTGGTTATATGTTAAATCACTTAAATCGTACCACATTAACACTAGTTCTGATAAAAACATTGCATATATTTGATAGAGCTGACTTACTGTGACAAATCAAACTCCAACACTGTGTGTTGAGCCAGTGAGGACCTCAAATCCATGAACGCATGTTTCCAGAAAGCTGCGGGTGGCTGTTGGATTATCAAGTAAGTGTGGGAGGCTCTGATGATCTTACACAGTGATGAGTGGGAGAGACTGACTGAGTGTCGGGTCCAAATGCAAAAAAGGATTCTACCATATCAATTCTACCATAACTCGACTGTGAGTCCCATCAACAAAGATAGCATTGTATCTAAATTTCACCTAGATGTATAAAATTTGGTAAGCAGATGTATCACATTTAGACTTAAAAAAAAAAGTCTTAGGGGTCCATGCTCTAAACCCAACCGGAAGTCAGCCATTTTGAATTTTGAATGAAGTTTCTTTGAAGTTTTTTTTGCCATTACCAGGTGCTGTACTTTAACGAACTCCTCCTAGGGAATTAATCAGATCAACTTAGAATTTGGTCAGAATGATCTAAAGACCTTAGTGATTAAAAGTTACTAAAAGCTTGAGGTTTCATCGAACGACATGGATGTGGTGTGGCAGCCATTTTATCTGCTTCGCCATCGTCCATCAAGCTGTTGTAACTCGACTGTAATTTGTCAAAACTGTCCCAAACTTGACATGCTTGATGACTGTCATGACTTCAGGACTTCTGCATGCCAATATTAACTCATAGTCATAGCTCCACCTACTGATAACCATGTACGTAAGCAGGATTCTAAAATTACAGCGGCCCAAACACTGCTTTACTGTACACTATGAACTATTTGCTTACTAATGGGAGGTGTCTATATAATTATTCGTGATACTTGTCGGGTCATATTCCATGTAAAATCAGATGAAATCATGCAGGTTGCACTAGAAACTCCTTCAGCTCAGACTCCGGTGCAGCATCCAGGACTGTCAGACTGTAGTGCACTAAAATCAGAAGTTTTCCAAAGGGACTTTGGTGCTAGAAAAAACATGACCACTTTCATCCACAGTTACTGCCAAAATCAACAAAAATATGAAATTTCCTCGTAGAAGCTTTAAAGAAGAGTGTTACGTCCTGAGCCCTTTTAAAGAGCAGTGTATCTTTTTTTTTCTCAGCGTATTCTTAACAAAAGCAAAAAAAAACAATGCCAACAAAACATTCTCAGAGACAGTCAGCTCACATTTGCTCCTCCCTCCTCGGCAGTTTAAAAAGCACTTCTCCCATTCTGGGATTTTCTGGCTCATATCTCCATCTAAAAAAAAGATTGTTGATCTTTAAACGTAAAATCACATATAGGCAAACGCAGAAAAGGACACACACACACACACACATGCGCACTGATTTTCTTTCTGAGGCAAACAGAAAAAACTCTATTCCTGCTGCACATGTAAACCGCTCCTGCTCTTTGAATTATTGTAACAGCCATCTTTCACACACACCACACACACAGGTGTTTCGGACAACCTATTAGAAGCTTAATGGGAAATAGTACACCTACTTACAAAGCACACAAACAGACACACACACACACACACACACAGTGTTCCTCGTGCGCCCTGTCATGCAGACTATTGAGTGGCATGTCAGTAGCTGGAAAGGGGGAGTTGAGAAAGGGGGACGGGGAGTGGATGGAGACGAAGTCAACGAATCACAGCTCTGTTGTTGAGAGACTCTGGGAAACGAGTTTTTTTACACAAATCTCTTCAAACGCTTTGTCTCCGAGTCTGCACGAAGTGAACGGGAAATAGGTGAATGTGACAAATTCATCTTAAATCCCTCATCGTGCCGATTATAAATGAATCCTTTCATATAATAGAGATTTAAATTAATAAATAAATGAATCAATCAATATTAAATGAATATATCAGGCAGAAACGCTGCACAGTACATGTCAGCTGTGAAAATTAATTAATTAATGTAAATAACATGAATGCAATCTTGGACAAGAACAATTCCTTTCAACTGTGTAAATATGTGTGTGTGTGTGTGTGTGTCTGTGTGTGCATGCGCAGGGCCTGCAGACGGGAACCAGGGAGCTGCAGGAGATGGGCATGAAGTTCTGCCATAGTCTGCTGTCCGTGACCAAAGACGTGAAGGGGCTCTACAGCCACATCGACCTGGACCACAACGTCCTGGACCACAAGTCTCACAAGTAAGACGCACCCTGACGTGAGGGCCCGTCATATGTCCATGTTGTGTCAAAGTGGGTAGAAAGACGAGGATAACCCTCCGGGGGTGCAGACATTGTCCTGCTGGTTGCGCTTCAACAGGGACAGAGTGGGAGGTTAGGACTTCAGTTTAGAGATACGGCTATATTTAGGATTAGAGAGTGAGGCTTACAGGGTACTGACATCCATCCATCCATTTTCCTCCGCTTATCTGGGGTCGGGTCGCGGTGGCAGCAGGCCAGCAGGCTGACCCAGACTTCCCTCTCACCGGCAACATGTTCCAGCTCATTCTGGGGGATCCCGAGGTGTTCCCAGGCCAGCTGGGAGATGTAATCCCTCCAGCGTGTTCTGGGTCTTCCCCGGGGTCTCTTCCCAGTTGGACGTGCCTGGAAAACCTCCAGTGGGAGGCGTCCAGGAGGCAACCTAATTAGATGCTCGAACCACCTCAGCTGACTCCTTTCGACGTGAAGGAGTAGCGGCTCTACTCCAAGCTCCCTCCTGATGACCGAGCTCCTTACCCTATCTCTAAGGCTGAGCCCGGTCACCCTACAGAGGAAGCTCATTTTGGCCGCTTGTAGCCGCGACCTTGTCCTTTCGGTCACGACCCAGAGTTCGTGACCATAGGTGAGGGTAGGAACGTAGACCGAGTAAATTGAGAGCTTTGCCTTCCGGCTCAGCTCCCTCTTCACCAAGACGGTCCGGTGCAGCGCCTGCTTTACTGCTGCAGCCGCACCGATCCGTCTGTCGATCTCCCGCTCCATCTTACCCTCACTCGTGAACAAGACCCCGAGATACTTGAACTCCTTCGCTTGATGTAGGCACTCCGTCCCCACCTGGAGGGAGCAATCCACCGGTTTCCAGCAGAGCACCATGGCCTCAGATTTGGAGGTGCTAACTCTCATCCCCGCCGCTTCACACTCGGCTGCAAACCGCCCCAGTGAATGCTGGAGGTCAATATCCGAGAAGGCTAACAGGACCACATCATCTGCAAACAGCAGAGAGGCGATCCCGAGACCCCCAAACCTGACGTTCTCCACCCCCAGGCTGCGACTAGATATCCTGTCCATGAAAGTCACGAACAGGACCGGAGACAAAGGGCAGCCCTGGCGGAGGCCAACACCCACCGGGAACGTGTCTGACTTATTGCCGAGAATGCGGACACAGCTCCTACTGCAGTCGTACAGAGACCGGATCGCCCGTTGTAATGGGTCCGGCACCCCATACTCCCGCAGCAACCCCCACAAGAACCCCCAAGGGACCCGGTCGAAAGCCTTCTCCAAGTCCACAAAGCACATGTAGACTGGTTGGGCAAACTCCCGGAACCCCTCCAGTAGTCTTGCGAGGGTAAAGAGCTGGTCCACTGTTCCACGGCCGGGACGGAATCCGCATTGCTCCTCTTGAATCTGAGGTTCGACAAACGGTCGAATTACCCCGGTAATTCGAGCACACTCTCCGGTCCCCCTTTTTGAAAATGGGAACCACCACCCCGGTCTGCCATTCCATGGGCACTGATCCCGACCCCCATGCGACATTGAAGAGGCGTGTCAGCCAGGACAGCCCAACTATGTCCAGCGCTTTCAGCATCTCAGGGCGGATCTCATCCACCCCCGGCGCCTTGCCACCAAGGAGCTTTTTGACTACCTCAGCGGCCTCTGCCAGGGATATGGGTGAGCCTCCCCCTAGATCTTCAGGCGCTGCCTCCTCTGCAGAGGACATGTTGGTCGGGTTTAGGAGTTCCTCAAAGTGCTCTTTCCACCACCCGACGATGTCCCCTGTCCGGGTCAGCAGCCCCCCCCCCTGCTGAGAACAGCCTGGGGTAAGCCCTGCTTTCCCTTCCTGAGCCATCGGATGGTTTGCCAGAACCTCCTTGAGGCCAACCAAAAGTCCTTCTCCATGGCCTCCCCGAACTCCACCCATGCCCGAGTTTTAGCATTCGCGACCACCGCAGCTGCAGCCCTTCTGGCCTGCCGGTACCTGTCAGCTGCTTCGTGAGACCCCTGGGCCAACCAGGCCTTGAAGGTCTCCTTCTTCAGCTTGACGGCTTCCCTCACCTCCGGTGTCCACCACCGGGTTCTCGGGTTGCCGCCACAACAGGCACCGATGACCTTCTGGCCACAGCTCCTAGCGGCCGCGTCCACAATGGAGGCTTTGAACATGGTCCATTCGGATTCCATGTCCCCAACCTCCCTTGGGATGTGTGAGAAGTTCTTCCGGAGGTGGGAGTTAAAGACCTCCCGGACAGGGTCCTCCGCCAGACGTTCCCAGTTCACCCTCACTACACGTTTGGGCTTGCCGGGTCTTTCCAACCGGTTCCCCCGCCATCTGATCCAACTCACCACCAGGTGGTGATCAGTTGACAGCTCTGCTCCACTCTTTACCCGAGTGTTCCAGACATACAGCCGCAAATCAAATGATACGATTCCAAAGTCGATCATTGATCTCCGGCCTAAGGTGTTCTAGTACCAGGTACACTTATGAGCCACCTTATGTTCGAACATGGTGTTCGTTATGGCCAAACCATGGCACACACAGAAGTCCAATAACAAAACACCATTCGGGTTCAAATCGGGCAAGCCGTTCCTCCCAATCACCCCCCGCCAGGTTTCTCCGTCATTGCCCACGTGAGTGTTGAAGTCCCCCAGGAGAACTATGGAGTCGGTAGGTGGCGCCCTTTCCAGGACCCCTCCCACCGACTCCAAGAAGGCCGGATACTCTGAACTGCTGCTTGGTGCATAAGCACAAACCACAGTCAGAGCCTTGCTCCCCGCAACCCGTAGGCGCATGGAGGCAACCCTCTCATTTTCCGGGGAGAACTCCAACACAGCGGCGCTCAGCCGGGGGCTCATGAGTATCCCCACTCCTGCCCGGCGTCTCACACCCTGGGCAACTCCGGAAAAGGACGAAGTCCAACCCCTCTCCAGGAGCTTGGTTCCAGAGCCAGCGCTGTGTGTGGAGTCGAGTCCAACTATATCTAGCTGGTATCGCTCCACCTCCTGCACCAGCTCTGGCTCTTTCTCCGCTAGCGAGGTGACGTTCCACGTCCCTAGAGCTAGTCTATGCTGCCGGCGATCGGCTCGACCAGGCCTCCCGCCTGACCTGCTGCCCGGTCTGCATTGCATCCGACCCCGATGCTTCTTGTCCCTGCGGGTGGTGGGTCCACAGGGTGGCTGCTCCATGCTGTTTATTCGGGCTGAGCCCGACCGGGCCCCATGGGCGAAGGCCCGGCCACCAGACGCTCGCCGACGAGCTCCCCTCCTGGGTCTGGCTCCGGGAGGGTGCCCCGGTTTCCCTGGTCCGGGCGAGGTGGCTGAAGTCCGTGGGCTGCTTATCATTACTGACAATTCTGGCAAAATGTTCACATGTAGCATGAAAATTATTAAAACCAAAACATGTGCAAAAAAATCACATCTATGTGCAAGGAATGCTGGGTTTTTTTGTCCATACCTTGCTATCTACAGATATTTTCCAGTGATTGTTTTTGTTTTGCACGTCTGAATTTCCAGTGGTATATATTGTTTATATATAAACCATAGTAATAAAACTATAGTTTTCAACTGAACTGACATCACTCATCTTGTCATCTGTCAAACCTTCTGGTTTCACACCAGACAGCAGCATTAAGACCACACCAGCCCAGAACATGTTGCAGAGCTAGAGTTCTGAAATGATCCGACTGAAAATCCCAGCTCATATTTTTTCAATGACAGTAGCTGGTGGCATTAGAAAGTTGCCAAATCGCCAGCACCGACAGCACCTGTCCCTTCAGGCCTCCCTCCTAAGCCGCTCCACTAAAGTGATCATAACGAAAGTAAACTTGTCACAGGCCTTGGTTACACTTGTCTTTTCAATGTGAATTTTTCTGATCGGCTGTGCCAAACAGGAACTCTGCCGTATCTGCATACGTGCGTCCACACTTGACACTTCAATGCCACCTCCATATAACAACAAAAAGATTACCGACCCTGGCTATAATCCCAGTCACCCACTTTAAACTTTAGTTTATTCTTCACCTTCGCGGACCCTGCGGCAGAAACTCTCCCTTTCAATCAGAGATTGTCTCTTAAATTCCTCCAGGTTGCTGTAAGACTCGTTTTCATCGGACCTCTGGGGGGAAGTCCTGGACAGCCCTGAGGACCGCCAGCCCTGTTTCTCAGTCTGTAGCGGACCGTGATGCAAAGAAGACTTTGGTGTCTGCTAAAGACTTTGGTGTCTGTTTAAGACTTTGGTCGTCTTTAACTAGTCGTGGAAGCATGGACATTGGGCCTTATGTTTTGAGGTCTTACGTCAGGGACTGTTCTATTTTGTTGAAAATGTAATAAATAAAATAAATAAATAAAACCTATGGGATGCTTAAACATCATAATTCAATTATGGCCTTATAGTAATGATTAAAAAAAATGTTTTTTTTAATTGGCACCTTTCAAAACAAAGTAACAATGAAGTTAAGAATAAAAGTAAATGGAATCAAAATAAACTATGAAATGATGAACAATTATAACAAATCCCATCAGTTTGAGAAAGAGACATGACATGAGTTTGAGAGGAGACTTAAAAGAGAACACAGAGTTCCGCAGCTGAGGGGCCTCACAAAAAACACTCTTTTTTTAAAACTTCTTCCGAAAGAAGAATCATTTTCACTATTTTACAGTGCGTGTGTGTGTGTGTGTGTGTGTGAAGCAAGAGACATGAGATGTGCGGCACCTGTGGCTTTGATAACACACACCCACACACACACACAGCACTTCTACGCTGTGCAGAGGATCCCTCACCGCGGTGATTGATGCGTGGATCTAAAGTGGAGCTGAATGGCTCCCATTGATTTTCAGACAGCTGTTCAATCTCCCCAGTGAGCTGTGACAGCGTGGTGGTGGTGGTGGTGGGGGGGGGCGGGGCGGGGCAGGGCGGGGCGTTCTGCTCACCTGAAGACACACTATTATTGTTTAATTTCATCAATTTTTTTTCTTTATCCCTTCACTCGCCTCTG